GTGCACGCTGCAAAATGTGAAAGTAGCCTAAGGTGTCACCGAAACGTTCATAAATCTGCATTCAGCTGTAGACTGTCATAATATCGATGTCTAGGCTCAGGTAGAAAAACCGCTTTTCTTATCGTGCACAACATAAACAGCCGTATATCGCCTTCCTTGCTGGTAGGTACACGTTCTCGCGCTTCGGAATTCCAGTAGACACAGTTTGTTCCCGTGTCAACCATGGGCACACCCTCTGCAAACCACTGTTACCAATACCAGGTTTGCACGCAGCACCGAACAGCGTAGATAGAGAACCGGATTACCCATGGAGAAGGGTTTTAACCTCTTTTCGAGGGTAAGGGTGTAGTGGTGGGAGTCATCGTTGCGGCAAGCGGGAACCGCCAGAGAAGCGCTAGTTAGTTTGACACACTACAGCAATTATGTGCTAACTAGGCCATGGACCGGATGATGCGCACGTAAAGCCAACTGCAACATCGCCAATCCGCAACGCAGACCCATCAACCCACATCCAAATGGAGGCAGTCCCTCACGAACGTTTGCTCCAGTGAATCCCGTTATTTCTTCAAGCCTGTACAAGATTGGATGGCTTTATTATTAGGCCTACGTTTCGGCGTCTTCGCCTTCGTCTGAGCCTTAAAGGCAGTTGACACGACAATTTGGTACTCAGCCTAAAATGCTAGCAGGGCGCTATCTAGTGGGAAAATGGCGAAAAAACGAAGTGAAACGGTCAAAAACTGCGAAGAAAAGCCTTCGTTCTTGAAAAGCAATTTCGGACGAGTTTCCCGTAGGCGTATTGCAAATAACCGCTCCGGTAGGTACGGCTGCATGTATGTACTCATATATCCATTCAGCACTGCAGCCGCTTCATACCATTCCCTTCGCTTCATATTTTAAATAGCAAATGAAGCAAAACGAGCATCTGGTAAGGTCGTCCATTTGTGGGCGGGCGGGCGTGGTGGGCGTTTGGGTCGGTATGTTGTAGCTTGATAGGACCCTTATAAGGGTACCTCCCTGAAAAAGCCGCTATGCAGCGCCTACCTTGTAGCCACAAACGTAGCCTAATAATAAAAGCCATACTATCTGTTGTACAGGCCTTGAGACAATACCGAGAATCCTGTCATTCTCCTAACATGCTACAATTGGTTTCGAGACAAACTCACTCGTATTTTCTCCAATTTCAATGATTTGATTTTTCGCTAGCTCTGCTAACTCTGCCTCTTGTTCCTTTTGTAATTTGAAGGCCTTGCACGACTCCATAGTGAAGGGAGCTGGAAAGTGGGTTTGATCCTATACGAATTTCTAATAGACGATTGCTCACAAAATGGAAAAGAAATACGCCGAATAAATGAACAATAAGATGAAATAGGATGGACAGAAGCTGTCAAAACAAGAACGAAGAAAAAGAATGGAAAGGTAAAGAAAAAGGATTCACGATAAAACCTGAAAACTAACGAGTCAGTCCCCTCCTCTCCAACTCCTTCTCTAGAGCTTTTACTCTTTGACGATCACTATCGCCAACATCTTCAAAGAACTTCTTGTAGACAATGCTGAAAACAACATTTATCCGCAAAGCAGCACTAAGAGGAAGACTGTCAACATACCGGAACCCTGCTAGGGTTACCATTTTCTTGAGTTTCGCCAAGCGGATCGAAGCAGCACTCTACGATACGAGAATTTAACACACTATTGGACTTCGCTACGATATAGAAATATTACTTGTGGTCCATCACTTTTCGTCTCCTTGTGTGATCGGCCTTTCTTACCAGACTTCTTCTGAAATGCAAAAAAGCATAATTGTTGTCATTCTGGCTCGCACAGCGCTAAATAAGACATTTCACTCACCTTCTTTGGTTTTTCGTCCTCTTCGTCTTCCGAAGACGATCCATGATGCTTCTTTGTTTTCGCCTCATGCACCAAAAACAAACTTGTGAAAAGAGGATAACTATACATAGTCTAGCCCCGAAATGAAGGTCATCGACTACCACCAGGAAGTAACTACAAGGCCTGGTTGTCAGCTTTCAACTACTACATCTGAGAACAACTCAAACAAATGCCTCACATTCGATAAGAAGGCAATATAAAAATTACCTTTTGACTCAACCTCTTCTTTTTCTTGACTTTTCTACTTTCACTGTCTTCCAGTTCCTTCTCTTCCTCTTCTTCATCTCCGGACTTCTTTATAAATATTCTTAATTCACGTAACGACGAATCGAGAAACGAAACGGCTAACTCACCGTCCTATCCTGGCCCTCTTGTTCGAATCCCTCGTCTGAAGAAGAGCCTCGACTTGTTTTCCATTACACCTCTTCGTTGAACTGCCGATGAAGAGCTTTTCCGCTCTGAAGTTGAAGCAACCTGACGACATCATGATGAAGCGCTATAAGAAAGCTCTCTGATCGCTTTAGAAAACCAATGCGAAAGCCGTCTCTGAATGCTTTTAGAGAACTTTGCGTGCGAAGAAAAAAGAGTAAAATAGAAGTATAAATCAATATAGAAGAGCTTCGGAATATGCCAAACTGCCTTTATTCAGCACATTCTCATATGGCAAAGCTCCCTGGTTGTCTATAGTCAACGCTGATTTGTAGGTGTTAGAAGACCAAGCTGTAAGCGAAACCACGAAACGGGTGTGTTGAAAAGAACAATCGCAGGTCAGGCCCGCAATTAGAGCGGCGATCGACGACTCTGCCACATCGAAGACGAGTATGTCTCTGCCGCCAATTCGAAATCTGAAGCGCGAGATCTTCTCCGGTAGGGGGGGGGGGGAAAATCGTAGTGCTGTCGTTTCGCCACGATCACGGTGCAGTTGTATGTATTGGCCCTGTTCTAAACACATAACAGTCAGACACGCATAGTTGTCGCATAAAACGTCCTATACCACCCTGTTTGATCCTCTCCTATTTCTTCGCCCCGCGGCACCGGATGACGGTATTACGTCATACGTGTGCGTACGTGTACATTATAACCTCTTTCAGTCATGTGAATCTACTGCTATCATTCCCACTCCGCGCAGCTGCCATATGCTCCACGAATGTTGCATAATTTGCACCACCATCGCCACCTGTTGGTTTTGCTTAACGATTCACAAAGAAGCTTCGCGTTCTCACTCGATGATCACTGGAGATGAGAAGTGGGTCCTCTACGATAACCCTGTGAGGGAGCAGGAGTGGGTCGACAAAGGAGAACAGCCAGAAGCCACCTCAAAGGCCGACCTTCACACCAAAATGGTTCCCCTGTTCTGTTGGTGGTCCAGAAGAGGCATGGAGTTCTGGAGCTGCTGGAGAAGGGACAGACGATTGATGCTTCCACATACGTGACCCAGCTGCGGAAATTGAAAGATCACGTCGACCGTACTCGTGGAAGGAATGCGGAAATCTACTTCCACCATGACAACGCCCGACCTCACACTGCAAAGGCGACCCAGGCCGAGCTGGAGAAGTACGGATGGCTGATGGTCGCCCACCCTCCCTACAGCCCTGACCTCGCTCCTTCTGACTACTGGCTGTTCAGCCACCTGCAGCGCTATCTGGACGGAAAAAAGTTCGAAACAAAGGATCAGGTCAGAAAGGCACTCGACGACTTCTTCAAGTCCCAGCCCCCGTCGTTCTGGAAGGAAGGAATCGACAAGCTGCCTGAGCGCTGGCGTCGAGTAGTGGATGGTGATGATGCATACCTCTAATCTTCAGGTTGGTTCGCTATTGAGATATTTACGAAAAAATTCGTGTATAAGAACTTATGCGACAACCTAATAGGAAGGGTATGAAGGTGGATTGCAAGTGGAAGTGGAAATTGGAAATGGAGATGTGGAGCTAGTGAAAGTTTGCACACCTGATTCGTTTTTTGATCGCGCTCTTTCTTTGTCTCACGATTATCTGGCGATGAGGTAGACGGTTTAGATTCTTCCTTTTCTTCCTTGTCGGTGTCGTCCTGAAAGAAGAACAATAAATCACTCCTGTCAAAGCAGGTGGATATATGTAGGATTTCCCTAAATTCTCCAGAGTAAAGCCAAAGAAACAGAATATCATGGTGGAGGAAGATACAACTGAACCTCAGTTCCGCTTCCGTTACCCTCTTTATCCTCTTCATTTGATCCTTTGTCTTGTCCCTGAAAGATAAGGGACCTCAAAATGAATGGAAAAGATCATCGAAAAGAGAAGAGAGAATTTATGAGGACGTCAACGCATTACTTTGGGATTGTTCTTTTCTTCTTCTTCTTCCAATTTTGAACTCTCTTCTTCATGGGAGTCCTTTTTATCCTCCTTGCCTTCTGCGTCGCTACTCATACTTCCCAGAGGAATCTCGTCACTACTGAATTCATCCTCCAGTGGCTGAATGATGAAGCGCTTATAGATCACACTTGGCACCTCGCTGTATCACAGCAGCATTAACATTCAGTTGCGACTTAAACTCCGTTCAAGATGGATAGAAACACACTCCCTCAATGAAACGGCCATACAATAGACTGTAATATAGTAGATTAGAAGAGGTACACAA